GATCGAAAGGCAGTGATCAAGAACGCAGACATGTCTGAAGAGATGCAGCAAGATGCTGTGGAGTGTGCCATTTTGGCCATAGGGGATTATAATGTTGAAAGAGAAACTGTTGCCCTTATAAAGAGTGTAAGTGTTTGATTGTAATATCCTTTTGTTGAATGCTATCCACACCAGAAGTCAAGCAGGGTGGATTTTGCTACACTTTTTGGGAAACCAAGTTCTGTGAACACAAAATACATTAGACTTTTCCTGTGGTCTGGTGTCCCTGTATTCCTTTTCCCACACCTTACATGTACCTTTCCTACTTTTTGTTTTGCAAGACCTTCTATTTTTAATTGGTTTTTCACTATGCCATTGTGTTGTAGAATAGGAGAGCATCTGCTGGCTTTTACCAGCGTAACTGATTAGCTGGTAGAAAATACAGCCCTTTGAAGCCTGCTGTAACTTTCCTTGGGGGCGATGATTTTTTTTTTACCTAGTCCCTGACTTAAGTTGCGTTCAAATTAGTCTTAAGGTTCTGTTCATAGTTCTGTAATAGTTCTGAAACACTGGCTAGCTGGTTCAAAATTTGCAGGGAAAAGTAATTTTCTGCACATCTTCTATATTCACATCCTCCTTTTATGTGCTGAACCATACTAAAATCCCATGTCTTGGATCACTGTTTACCTGGTGTCCACAGAATACCTGCTTTTATCTATGCATGAAGAAGAATAACAGATGCGCAGAAGATCTAGTTCTGATGCTTTGCCATCTCAGGAGAATAAAGAAATCTAAGGGTGCCAGTGGAGGTTAAATATTACACAAATCTGAGTGAAAGACCTGTTTGAAAAGTCATTTAACTAAGTGGTACAATTGCTTCTGTTGGGGAGGTCTTCCTTTCCTGTCACCCTAACAGACATATAAGCAGGTTTATTTTTTCCATTTGTAAGAACATTCTGTTATTGGAGAGCAGAGGGTTTGAGCTCATCATATTTTCCTGCAGGCTTCTGATTGGAACCTAAGAAATTGTGGTGAGGAGAGAATTTATCCAGGGTTGATCAGAAATGCTTGCATGTTCTCATGGAAAGTTCCCTCATTTGAGAGCTATTTGGATATAACAATTTATAATGACTGACTGGAATGTTCTGCTTTTAGTTAGAGCTGTGTATCTTGTTTTTTGAAACGTGGTAGGCTTCCAAGTATGATGGAAGAACATGGATAGTTCAGTGGTATAGTTTGAGAACATGGTATGACTTTAGGGGGGGAATTGCAGTCCCTGGGCTTATTCCTGCTCAGCTAGGAAATGCTGTGGGCTTTTTTTTTGGTGTCTAAGCAGCAGGTGAGGTATAAGAGGTAACACAGTCCTTAAAAGCATATCCTGATTCTTAATTGCCTTTTCAAAAAGTGATACTTGTTAAGAAGAGACACATTAATGACAAAAAAATCTGTAGTCAACTTTTGGGTGAGAACTGTGGTAATACTAAGTTCCTAGTGATCTCTTCTGCAGGAGTTTGAGAAGAAATATAGTCCCACTTGGCACTGCATTGTAGGAAGGAAATTTGGCAGCTATGTGTCTCATGAGACCAAGCACTTCACCTTGTTCCTTGTGCTTGGAGGAAATATTCTTCTGTTTAAAGCTGGTTAGAGCTATGGATCATAGTTCAAAGTTGCTCACGCTTACAGGACTGCACACTTAATGGCAGCAGCTTAGTGCCTTCAGCCTTCCTGAGGAGGCAGACCTTGGTCTTCAGGGGTAATATCAGGGATTTCTCTGGAGTGGCTGGTGTTTTTGTTGTGTTTGGGGGGGGGAAGCCTTGTATTTGTTTTCTTTCCAAAGTCGACTTCTTTGCTAATAAAAGTGGTATGTGTATTCCGTCTTTAAGAGCTTTATGGCTGGTTTCTCTTTTTCCCTAACGTTGCTTGTCCTCCTCATTTCCCTGTGAACAACCACCTTTCAAAGAAACCTCTTCCCGAATCCAGAGTATCTGAATGCTGAGCTACACACGCGAGTAAGTCTGTAACCCAGAGCCGCACAGAGGAGCCCTGTGGTTAGGGGAAGTAGGTAACGAAGAGGAGTTACCGCAAGCCCTTGGCCTGGGTCAAAGGCAGCCCGTTTGTCCGATGGCTAGGACTGCGCTGGTAGATGTGTGGAGCCTTGAAGGTAAGCTCAGTGCCCTGCGTGTGTTTTCAGTAACCAGAGTCCCTGCTGAGAGCAGCTTCCTTATCGAGAAGAGGCTCAGCAGCTGCTTCCCACTTGCAGCAATTTGTGCGGTGGGAGGTAAGGGGGAGCGCTCGGCCAGTAAATCTGGTTTTACAGTAAATCCATCTGCCAGAGTGCGCCGGGGGGCGGGCTCCTTCCTCCTCACTTGCAGTGTCCTCAGTATTACAACAGTTTCAGAACGCGTTCGGGCAGCAGCCGCTCTCCCGCGGTGTCCCCGGTTGCTCACCGCGGGCGGGGGGGGCGGCTCAGCCAGCGCGCCTTCCCCTGGGCGGCTGCGGGCGGGAGGCACGCTGGTCTGAAAGGGAACATCACCCGCAAGCGGGGCCCGGTGCTGGCCAATGAGCGCCCGGGGCGGGCGGTAGCGGTGACCAATGGCTGGCGGGCGGTGCGGAGGGGGCGGGGTTGGGGCGCTCTGAGGTGGCCGCGGCGCGCGCGGGTCGGTTAAACCGGCGGAGCGCGAGGGGAGCTGCTTCCGTGTCCGCCCGGTCCCGCGGCGCCTGCGAAACGGTGAGGGGCGGAGGCGTCGCCGGGTGCGTGAGGGGAGCGTTGTGAGGGCAGCTTTGTGAGGGCAGCTTTGTGAGGGCCGGGTGGGGCCCCGTGAGGCGGCCTTGGGACAGCGCGGCTCCCGGGAGGGGCCGGGTCCCACCCAGGTACCGGGAAGGCTGAGCCTGGGCAGCCAGCGCTGCCGACAGCGGTGCGGTGCGTGTCCCGGCGGCTCCCCCGTGCCCTGGAAGAGCGGCCGCCTCCCCGGGAGCTGCAGGCGGGAGCCTCCCCTG